AGAGAGAGAGAGAGAGAGAGAGAGAGAGAGAGAGAGAGAGAGATGGATGACAGTGGTATTTTATGTGGCTTGTGTGTGATGCAGGTCAGAAGGAATTCTTTGAGTATGCAGAGAAGGGGAATGTTATTCCCTTGTGCCGGAGAGTAATGTCAGATTGTCTGACGCCAGTGCTAGCTTACCGCTGCTTGGTGGACTCTGATGCCCATGACCATCCGAGCATGCTGTTTGAGTCTGTGGAGGATGGCACCAAGGCGGTGCGTAGGTGGTTTCATGCATTCATCACACCACCCTCTGCTGTTGATTTGATGAGTAGTGTTGATGGAAAAGCACAAGCCTAGAAAGAAGCAACTGTGTACTCACTCGTGGGAACACGAAGGCGATATGTCGTTTGAACTCCCAACACCTACGGGAAACTTCCAGCTATCCACTGTGGTTCAAACTCCATTGGTTAAACCACCAGGACGTTTCGGCAGCCATTTTGTTCTGACGTGGCCGTAAACGTGCCATGACCTTCTGAGATCGGCCTACCGGACTGAAATGCCTGGCTGCGCCCGGCAAAAAGCCAAAAAACGCACCTGCACTGGTTCGTTTTGTATTGGTGCGCAGCAAATCTGCATTGTGTTATGATCCTGTCCAAGTACACATTCATCAGAAAGTACAATGCCGTCCAATTGCAAAAAGAAATGAATGGACTTGAAAGGAGAGAGAGGGTAAGAAGAAAAAGAAGAAGAAGAAAGAAAGAAGAAGAAGAAGATGATGTACACCAGCATAGACCAATGATAATGCTCTTCTTCTTCGCCAACCACTCTCCTCCTCCTTATCTCTTCCCGCTCTCATTCCAAACAAAAATAATAATAACAATGTTGAATGGCTGATCCAGAATCAATGTCCGAGTCCCTCTTCTACTGATTGTATCACTTGAGGTCGACCATAGCCATGGCCACCCTTCTCTCTCTCTCTTCCTCATAGGCCGAGGCTATGGCGGACTACCAGGGAATCACCCTGCTGTCCAAAGAACAACACAAAGCAGCTATGGCTGCTCTAGCTCAGGCCGCCATGCCTGACTCTGCCTCAAAGCTTCTTGGTGCAGCTCTTCCCCAACTGGGCCTTCCTGCTGCAGGGCCCACCAAGGTGATGAAGATGGCAACCACCATAGCCAGGTATGTACCTCCGGCGCTCCCGTTCCTAGTCCTGGTCTTGTTCCTCCTCCGTGTCCTTGCTCCTTCCCCAGCAGCGCAGCTGAATGCTAGCGCTGCTCGAGCCAGCGCTCCAACCACTGTGTCGCCGAACTTGCACACTGACAATCAGGAGGAGCAACTGGCTCCTCCTGGAGATATAATGGCCTGCTTGCCTCTTGGCGACTGACTCCAAAATTAACTCTTGGAAATCCATGAACCATAGAACAAGTCTGAACAACAGGATAAAAACATCCCACAGCGCAAGATGCCTGAATTTTTTTTTTTTCTTTTCTTCGTCAATCCAGCCGTGGTAGATAATTCAGAATTTCGTTTTGAACCTCGAAGTTATTGCACACGACATCCTGTCAATGCAACGTTTCCGTCACAGATCACGAGTTTGGATCCTGAGCAAATCACATAAATACAGTGATATAAAGGGGCTAACCCCCTTCACCCCCCTCTTTTTTTGGTAAGGTTATGTAACATATGCTACAATTTACAGAATCTAATATGTACACATACTACACAACGTAAACGAAACCTCATTGAAATTGGTGCAATACAATTTATTATTGCACGTCTCATCATGTGTATCATCATACTATCATGGATGCTTGCTACGCTATTATGTTGCGTAGTACCAGGAGTATACTGTACTGATCGTTTCACTGGACAGACTGTCATAGGGAAACTCTGCGTTATACCTGCAAAAAGACAGAAAACAAGGAAAGACAGAAAATCAAAACGACAAAATGGCAAAATGACCAAAAGACCGAAAGACAAAAAATAAGCCTTTGTCTCCCCTCTCTCTCTCCTCTCCCTCCCTCTCTCTCTCTCTCTCCTCTCTCCGTCCCATCTCCCTTGGCCTCTCTTTCGCAGTGTACAAGTGGGCCGTTATGGCACATAAGGTTATAGGCAGCTCATCCACAACTACACCAATGTGGTGATTCCTTGTACCTGAGAGGCACAGCAAAGGGAGAGCTGAATAAAAAGGAAACAGAGGGAAGCCATGAAGGAAGGTCAAAAGAAGAAAGAACAGAAAGGAAGGACTGCGCAGAAAAAGGAAAAAAGAATGGCAGCAGTGTGTGGCATGCGAAATGCGCTCTTACAGTCCACTGTCGTATTTTTTCTATGAACTAAAAGATTGCATTTTGCAAAACAAGTGAAGAAACAAAGTCTGTCCTGACCTTCATTGCCAGGGGCTTGCAGCCAGACTGGCTGCTATTCTAGACAACCTGCGAACAAAGCAGCATGACTGAAACTGGTATGCCCCAATGGTCAGGTTCGTACTAAAGCAGCAAATAATGGCACATAATGCGGCAAATGGTCATCAGGTTTCTGAATCAGTCTATTCACAGATTTCAGCCATGCACCTGCAGTGCAGTGTGTGTGTGTGTGGTGGTGGTGGTGGTGGTGGTGTGGGGGGCGGGGGGGGGGGGNGGGGGGGGGGGGTGATTTCAGCCATGGACCTGCAATGCAGTCTCGGTGCGTGTATGTGGTGGTGGAAGGGGTGGGGGTGTAGTGTGTGGCATCCGTCGAGCACAACACACCTTGATCATCAGTGTATATACAAGCTATCTTTCCGGCCTGATACAGTCATGACGAGGGTTAGTTGTGCTTGGGGGAAGGTGGTGTTGCACTTAATGAATCTTGTGGGCATTCTGGTCATGTCTACGCTACTCTACCAAAATGTACCTGCCGTGTGGCTGAATATAACCTGTGGTTACCAGATCAGGAGTTCAAGTCTTGATGAATCCCGTAACATTAGGGGTTATCCTCCCCCCCCTCACCCAACACACACACACACACCTTCTTCTTAAAAAAGAAAGGGCAAAATTCTAGCCCTATGGCTCCGCACTTGGGGCCCCTCTCTTCCTCTGCAAAGGTATCTCTTCACCCATGGCCAGGCGCGCATGATACAGTACAAACACCCTTTCTCTTTTTTTTTTTAAACCAAAGCATTGTCTTTTTATATGAAAGCCACAAACCCATGTCTTTTTCTTTTATATAAATAAAAATAAAAAAATACATACCCTTGTTGCGGTTGCTGCATTTGCAGGTTGTGATGCTGACACATCTATGCTTCCGAAATGTCTCTGTGTCTGACACAATTCTTACAGGGACAATGGCAAAGTATTGTTAAAGATGTTGCAAGGAGGCATATGTAGAACGAAGTGAACGTGGCTGGCTCACATGATTGGAGATCGAAGATGCATTGGATTGAAAATGCACAAGGATTGCAGAACGCCAGCTGTTCAACTTCCGAGAAAGAGACGAGAAAGAAGCAGATCGAAAATGTCTGGCTGATAGCCTTTTGTAATTGGCAATGTATCAGGCACTGGCAATTGGACTTATGAGTACATTGCCAATTTTAAAAGGCTGTCAGCCAGACCTTATTGATTTGCTTCTTTCTCGTTTTTTTCTCATAAGTTAAATAGTTGGCATTCTGCAATCCTTGCACACTGTCAATTCAATGCATCTTTGATCTCCAATCAAGTGACCCAGCCACGTTCACTTCGTTCTACACATGCCTCCTTGCAACATCTTCAGCAAAACTTTGCCATTGTCTCTGTGGACAAAACAACGCATAATTTGGCAATTTGCTGCAAGAATTGGTATCTGTTTCATCTCTCTACCCATTTGGACAGTCCCACTTATACTCGTCCTCATGAATCGGTTGCTGACGTCCTTGATCACCATGCAATGTGGAATCACCATTGGGGTTACACCCACACTGATACCCTAGCTTACCTTTACGATGTGCTCAAAGCTCACAAATCTCCTCCAGCTCTTCACAACATTCTTGGAGTCACAACACAAATAACAGTGTTGTTCCACTTGCCCTTGCCCTTGTCCAACAATTCGCACCATTCATGAACAACCTCCTCACAAACCATTGGCTAGCACAACGACTTCTTCGTCGCATCTCAGTGCTGCTTTGCAACGAGTGATCTCTACTCTTTGCGAGAAAGACACTGTGAGCTTTATCAACAGGTTGGTGCTTGACGGTGCTGCATCGTTAAGAGTGCCGATGAAGTGGCGATTGACCCGAAAAACAATGCACCTTCTCTTCGTGGCCTCTTTCCCTGCACGGTTGATTTTACCACAATGTACACCAACCTTCCTCATGACCGAAGTCTGAATAATGTGGCAAAAGTTGTTGATGAAGCCCATGCTTATGCCCTTCGGCATGCTCGCACGCATTCGCGTTGCAACGCCGTGAACATGGTTATTCGAGGACCTCATTGTGGCCAATGGCAACTGATTCAGGCCCGGACACCCTTTATGTTTCTCAGATTCTCCAACATCTTCGCTTTGTTGTAGAAAACACTTTTCTACTCACTAGAGATGACACGCTTTGGAAACAAAGTATCCCTATTCCAATGGGAACAAATGCTGGCCCATAAATTTCTAATTTGACACTGTATTGGGATGAAGCACGCTTTGTTCATAAGATTCGTCAACGTGATCTTCAATCCGCTCAGCAATATGCCTTGTTACGATCCTGACCAATTTCGAAGTATACATTCATCTGAAAGTACCATGCGCTTTAATTCCAAAAAGAAATGAATGAACTTGGGAGGAGAGGGAGGGAAAGAAGAAGAAGAAGAAGTAAGAAAGAAGAAGAAGATGATGTACTCCAGCGTAGACCAATGACAAGGCTCTTCTTCTTCGCCAACCAATCTCTTCCTCCTTATCTTCCCCCCTCTTATTCAAACAAGAAATAACAATAATAATGTTGAATGACTGAACCAGAATCAATGTCCGAATCCCACTTCTACTGCAGGCACAACATGAGGTCCACCATAGCCATGGCCA